TTAATTGATTTTTTACAGAGAAGAAGGGAGAAGGATAGAGAGTTAGAAACATCGATGAGAGAGAAACATCGATCAGCTGCCTCCTGCACACTCCCTACTGGGGATGTGCCCGCAACTAAGGCGCATGCCCTTGACCGGAATAGAACCTGGGACCTTTCAGTCCGCAGGCCGACGCTCTGTCCACTGAGCCAAACCGGTCAGGGCAGTTTTTTTTGTTTTTTAAATGTATTTGGGTGCTCCTGCATTGGGTGCATACTAGTATATGTTTACCAGAGTTATATCCTCTTGTTGTATTGATCCCTTTATAATTATGAAGTGGCCTTCCTTTCTCTTGTTTTGGACTTCACTTTGAGGTATAATTTGTGAGATATAAGTATTGCTACCCCTGCTTTTTTTCATTTCCATTTGCCTGAAAGGTATTTTTCCATCCCCTCACTTTCAGTCTGTGTGAGTCCCTTGTTCTGAGGTGGGTCTCTTGTAGACAGCATATATATGGGTCATGTTTTCTTATCCATTCAGTTACTTGATGTCTTTTGATTGGAGTATTTAATCCATTTACATTTAATGTTATTATTGATAGGTACTTATTTGTATCCATTTGTATTCTTTATGTCTGTGTTCCTTCCTCCCTTTCTATTATTCTTTTTACAGCATTTGCTTTAGAATTTCTTGCATTGCTAGTTTAGTAGTAATAAACTCCATTAGCCTTTTTTTTGTCTGCAAAGCTCCTGATTTCCTCTTCAATTTGAATTATATTCTTGCTGGATAGAATATTCTTGTATTCACTCCCTTGCTTTGCATCCCTTTGTATACTTCATTACATTCTCTTCTGGCCTGATGTGTTTCTGTTGAGAAATCATTTGATAATCTGATGGGAGATCCTTTGTAGGTAACTCTCTGTGTCTGTCTTGTAGCTTTTAAGATTCTCTCTTTGTTATTAATGTTTGCCATTGTAATTATGACGCATCTTGGTGTGGGTCTTTTGGGGATCATCTTGTTTGTGACTCTCTGTGCTTGTGTGACTTTTTTCTTCCCCTAATCGGGGAAGTTTTTGTCATTATTTCTTCATATAGGTTCTCTAATCCTTGCTCCTCTTCTTGTCCTTCTGGCACCCCTAATATATGTATGTTATTTTTTCCATGTTGTCCCAAAGCTCCCCTAGTCTCTCCTCCTGCTTTCTATTTTTCCCCCCAATTTCTGTTCAGATTGGTCTTGTTTCTCTGCCCTATACTTTAACTGACTAATTTGGTCCTCTGCTTCTTCTAGTCTACTGTTGAAACCCTCCATAGAGTATTTTATTGTAGCTATGTCATTCTTGACTTACCCTTGATTCTTACATAAGTTATTGATTTTCTTGTCCATCCGGTTTATGAACTATATGACCATTACACTGAATTTTCCTGACATATTGCATGCCCCCATTTCATTTAGTTCTCTTTCTGGTGATTCTTCCTTTTCTTTCCTTTGGGGGCTGTTTCTTTGTCTCCCCATTTTTGCGATCACCAAAGGGTCTAGGCACTGAGTTGCATGGGATTTGTGCCGCTGTGGTGAGTCAGCGGGAGTGTTGTGTGCACCAAGAGTCTCAGGAGAGAGTCTCAGGAGAGTTCAAGAGTGAGGACATGTGGCCACAAGGGGTTGGTGGGGGCCCCATGTGTGCCGAGAGTCACAGTAGAGTTCAGGAGCCAGGATGCCTGGAGCTTGTGCTGCTGCAGCAGATCGGCAGGAAGGGAACACACTCTGGGACTCACTGGAGCCTGAGGCCAGGAAGGCTGGATTCCTGGAGTCCATGGGTCTGGGCTACAGTAGCAGGTCTTTGGCCTGAGTGGCTTTAGAGTCCCAGGTTGTGTCTGAGGTCAGTCTGTGTGGTGGTAAGGCTGGGATCCTTGTCACAGAAGCTCTGCCCTTCAAGATGGCATGGTTTCTGTGCCAGTGCCTGCTGCCCAGGATTGCTTTCAGTGGTAGTGGGGCTTCCCATCTAAGAGAGCCTGGTCCACCAACCCCTGAAAGTCCTTCAGGATCTAACTGTTCCTCACTCAGACAACCACACACCACACAGGTCTACACACTCCCCTTTCACTCCCTCACTCACTCACACTCTCTCCCTCACTACCCGCCACCATCTTAGGATCTGGGGAATTTAATTCTTATATGGCAAGTTTGTGAATGATTCTATATTTGTATATATTTCCTCATGAAATTGAATAATTTCTCATTTTCAGTCCCTTTTTGAAAAAATGTTTATTCAATGAATGAATGAATGAATATAGTTTCACTTCCCAGCCTGATGTATTAGTCAAGATGGCCCCTGTTGTTCTGTGAAAGCAAACAAATCCAAAATTTGATTGGTTCAAAATCAAAAAGGTTTATCTCTTGCCCATGGCATATATCCAACTGCACATCAGCAGGAGGACTTTTTTATTATAGCCACTTAGGGTTGCAGGCTGGCAGATTAGCCATCATCTCAAACATTGCTGATCATTATGCCAGAAAAAAAAAGATCTATGGAGAGTTTCACCACAGCAGGTAAGTGCTCTAGCTTAGAAAGTACCAACATCATTTCCTTTCTCAAATCCTTGACCAGTCTCCTGGCCCAACTTAAGCACAAGGTTATCCAGGAAGGAAAATCTACTATGTGTCTGAAAGGGGCAAGAATCAGAAATACCTGGTGAATAGCATTAATAACTACTAAACCTTGTAAACTGGGACTAATGTATTGCTTCTCTCTTTAGACTCTGAGCACCCTGAAGATATTGACAAGCAACATTTCTGGTATATACTACTGCATAGCTATGAACAAGGTTGGCATTGATGAGAGAAGCATACATTTCTATGTCTCAGGTAAATTCTGAACTGGGAAGGATAAAGCAGACAGGGCTCGTCTTCTATGATGTGATTAGAGATACATGGAAAATATACCTTTCTCAGCCAGCTCAACTCCAGGACTGCAAAGTTAACTGAAAATCTGTAATATATAGCTCATTTTTTGAGGTTAAGGCAGAATTTGGCTGAAATGCAAATATCCTGGAAGGGGCAACACATTAAATTAGTATAAAAGATTAACACCTTAGCAAGAATCTGATTGTTATAACTTTCTTTTGTTTTTAGATTAATTTATAATATTTCCAGCTCCCTCACATCATGATTTAATTTGCTTCTTTCAATGTCTAGTTAAAATTAAGTTTTAGTCAATAATCTAGATGATAGATGATAGAATAAAATCTCAGGAATTGATATCTAAACTTGTGCAGGACTAAATTAATTTATTATAATTTTATTTACTTTTACAATAAATTTATTGGGTGACATTAGATTAATAAGATTATATACTTTTTGAGGGTAAAATTCTATAATATATCATCTGTATAAGGCATTGCATGACCACCACCTAAAATCAAATCATATTCTGTCACCATATACTTCACCTACTTTATCCTTTACTACCCCTCAGCTCCCTTCCTTCTGGTAACCAGAATACTGTTGACTGTGTCTATGAGTCTTTATTTATTTCCTTTGTTCATTTATTGCTTTCAGTTTTATATATCATACTAGAGGCCCGGTGCACGAAACTCATGCATGGGGGATGGGGGTGTCCCTCACCCCAGCCTGCACCCTCTTCAATCTGGGACCCCTTGAGGGATGTCTGACTGTCCATTTAGTCCCGATCCCGGTGGACATCCCTCTCACAATCCAGGACTGCTGGCTCCCAACCGCTCGCCTGTCTACCTGCCTGATTGCCCCTAACCACTTCTGCCTGCCAGCCTGATCCCCCCCTAACCACTCCCCTGCCAGCCTGATCAATGCCTAACTGCTCCCCTGCCAGCCTGATTGCCCCTAACTGCCCTCCCCTGCAGGCCTGGTAGCCCCCAACTGCCCTCCCTGCCAGCCTAAACACCCTTAACTGCCCTTCCCTGCTGGCCTGGTTGCCCCTAACTGCCCTACCCTGCAGGCCTGGTCACCCCCAACTTCCCTACCCTGCTGACCCAGTCACCCCTAACTGCCCTCCCTTGCCAGCCTGGTCTCCCCTAACTGCCCTTCCCTGCCAGCCTGGTCGCCCCAAACTGCCCTCCCCTGTAGGCCTGGTGCCCCCACTAACCTCCCCTGCAAGCCTGGTCAACCCTAACTGCCCTCCCCTGCCAACCTGGTCACCCCTAACTGCCCTCCCCTGCAGGCCTGGTCCCTCTCAACTGCCCTCCCCTGCTGGCCTGATCACCCACAACTGCTCTCCCCTGCTGGCCATCTTGTGGTGGCCATCATGTGTCCACATGGGGGCGGCCATCTTTTGTGTTGGAGTGATGGTCAATTTGCATATTA